AGAACGAAAGCTCAAAGATACGAGGTTCGATTACCTAGCAGTGCCTAAAAAAACTAGCTTCGGGTAAAATGATGACACTAAGAAAGTTTACAACAAGAGAAAAAAAACCTTGTAGCACTTCGGATACTCCCTCTCACCGTCTTCTTATATGAGTCATCATCATTGTGGCATGATTACACACTTTAGCACTGAAAAGACATATACCAGCCAAGCATGAGAAAAAGAGAAACTAAATGGCAATTAGTCTCATACATCTTACCGGTTCATAAAACCAATCGGAACTTGCTAGGCTCGCTCCATCCCAGTCTCTAGCGCACCAAACAGTGAAGTTTGCACTCGCTTTACTAAATCCTACTTCCGCATCAAATTTAACATTTTTAAAAATACATTTATTCCTTTGAGACCAAATTTCATATACCACTGCTACCCATAGTCTTTTCCACAACATGTTTCCCTTCGCTCCCAATCCACCTAATGCAAAGCTTTCCAGACTTGCTTTCGCCTCACAATGGCTAACAAAGCTTATACCCACCCATCTAAAGCACTTTTCCCATATCTCCCTGGTCATCTTGCACGTGAAAAAGAGATGATTGGATGTTTCGTCCTCACTCCCACACAATGCGCATTTTGGGTTACCTATATCAACCCTTCTCCTAGCTAAATTTACCTTAGTAGGTATCCTATCTTGAAGAATTCTCCACCCTAAAACCATGGCCTTTGGTATCGCTTTAATTTTCCAGTACCATTTGAAAATCAATTCTTTCTCATTGCAATTTTCTTCGTTTAGAATCTCATATGCTTCTTTTACAATATACCTTTCATTTTTATTCGGTCCCCACAACCACGTATCATCTGCTCTAAAACCGTTAATGAAATCGAAAAAGGGACAACATTGAATTTTGTTTAAATCAAAGAACGAAATTGAACATTGTCAAAAACAAATGAATCAAATCGAATAATTCATAAAATAATTTATAAGTAAGTGTAAGATTTACAAAAAAAAAGTATTTTTATTTGATTTAAGGTTATTTTAGGTTAAATTAAAATAAAGTTGTTTTTAAAGAAACCTTAGTTATTTTTAATATTTCAGATTAGTTCGACCAATTATCTCAAATACTAACATGAGTCACAATTTTTTTAAGTGACCCATTGGTTGAATAGACTAGTAAATATAAAATCTAAAACAATAACTCAAATTAAAAAAATCCACAAAAACAACTGAAATATCTTGAAAAAGTGACGACAAAACATAAATCGAGAAATCTAAATGAAAGAAATTAAGATATAAATGAGCTAAGGTTTAAATAAATAAATGAGCTGAACTTAAGCTTTTTCTTCACAAGATAACTAAACCTAAATATATAGTGTCCCCTACTTCATCCTCTCTCTCTCTTTACATAATATATATTATTATGATTGTATTGATGAATGAAAAAAAGGAAAAAAATGAAAGGGTGAAGAAGGAGAGAGTATGTATTTTAGCCTAAAAACCATAAAGTCCTTTGTTCATGGACGGTCCCCAACGACCTATCAATAGTTAGTTAAACAACCAACTGACCGTTTCCAAACTCAAGATTAGGCAATTAGGCCTCAAATAACGACGCCAATATGTCTTTTTTAGAAGACATAGTGGTTGGATTAGATAACCTTCCATTTCATGGCAACTGTAACCATAATTCCCACGAGGAAAACGTGAGATCAATTCCAAACTAAACTCGAAACTTCTTTTCTCCATTTCCTTTCATCTATTTTGAGGTAAAATTATGGAATGCATGCACAATCTCATCACTTTCTTACTTTTTTTTTTTCCTCTCTTTCTATTATTTTTGTGTTTTCATTTTTCCTTTCTTAGGATATGGGAACTGATTGATGTACGTTTAAAAATAATTAAAAAGTTTGGGATAATTTAGACTTCATTTTCTTCAAAGTATTTATTAATATTATTAATAAATTGTTCGCATTTATTTCTCTCTTTATGCATGCATGATCACATGCAAAGAATAAGAAGACAAAGTAGGTCTAGCTAGTCACATGATCTAATTTGTATAATTTACCAAATTTGGTAGAATAATTCTATATAGTCAATCGGTTCACTTATGAGTATCTTATTCAACTCATGGGGTCAATATTATTAAATTAATTCATTTGAAAAGTTAAGAAGACGAAAATGTTTCATGTTGAGAAAAATCAGAGTTAATATGTTAGTTTTTTTTTTCATGTTAATATATTAGTTTTAATATTATCGTTACTTTATTTTATGAAATCAATTTTTCATCTAGCAAAAGTCACATTCAAATTTAGAATAATTTAATAAAACACTTTAAGTGCTTTAGTTAAATTTGTCAAGCTTAACGATGAAAAATAAAAAGTTTAAAATTTAATATTATATCTCTCTTTTTTCTTTTATTTTTGCTGGGTTAACGAAGCAGGTGAAAATCTTCTAACCCATTAACACAGGTGATGAGTTAGTATGTTCTTATTCTATTTTAGTTGACTGGTGATGAGATAAGTAAAAATAGGTTGGAATAACTTTGCTATCTCTAAGTACGTTAATTAAAGGAGTTAATTGAAGAAGTACACCATATAATTGGAAATTTATATTACAAAACGGTCAAAGTAAATGAGAATATTGTTTATTATTATATTGAATTATTGGCATATAATTAATAGTTGTATGAAGTTAAGAAAATATCCATAATATTAACTTTACCTTGCAAGTGGTTAATATTGCCATGTTATATTGACCTTCATAAATGATTAACTTGGTCTCATAAATCGTTAAAAAAAAAAGTAATCAAAACTATATATTAATGTTCGATTATTTGTACCTCTAATATTGATCAACTTTTCCTCATAATATATTGTGTCATGAAATTATTAAAATGCAAACTAATTATTATAAAACACTTGATATATGAATAACTTTTTAACCTTGATTTTTGTTTTTTCTATTTCTTCTTGTAGTCTAAGATTTAGAATAAATGGTTAATCTTCCCATGTCTTTTTATGAAGAATGATGGACTTGTACTTTGATATTGAATAAACTATATTTTTCCAAAACCAACGCATGAATAGGATTGTTTTTCTTTTCTTTGGTTCTTTCCTTTTTTTCATTCTCATGATTCATTTTCTTGATTATGACATCTTACTCTTTTTGAAGGCAAGTTTTTCCAGTTAAAAATGTTTGCTTTAAACAGATTTAAAATTCAGCGATGAGTTTGGAAACACTTGTTCTGTTACGAAATTATGTCTAGGTGAAAAATATATGAATTTAGTTAATTTATCGTTCACAAGCCATTCCTGTTAATGGTCATTGTCAATTTTCTTGGTAGGGCCAATGCAACAATAAATTTGCTCCATTCATATGGGGTTTTACTTTCTAAATTAATGCATGTTAGTTGCAGCAGACCTCAATATGTTTATTGGCTTATTGTAAAATAATTGGACTGCATATAAGATGTGAAGTGTGAGACATTTGAATGGTGTTAAAATTATGTTTTAAGAAAGTAAATATACTTATTTGGCATGCTTGTACACTTGTACTTGTGATTGCTTTCTATCTTGTTTCCTAAATTGACTTTAAAAGCTTTTTTAGTTGGCTAACGTAAGACGGTAGAAGTACGACTAGTCGTATAGTGTTATTTTTTGTTTCATGCAGTCACTTTCAGAGACCTTTTGCAAAATCTATCTAAATATTGGAATTGATCGTACCAGACTAAAAAGATAGGCTGAAATTCATTATCTTCTAACAACACAAGTTTTGGAATCATAACATTCTTCCTTCTTCATAAATCCTTTTTTTTCTTTTTCTCATTCTAAATATAAATAGAAATTGACTAAGGGAAAAAAAAAAGTGTGGATATGGTAGTAAATTAAAGAAAATAGACTTTACAGTACATTTTCATTCATTCACAAACTACTGCATATTCATCAGTTATTTCTGTCACTTGACAGTACACTGATACTACTAGTGCATGTTCGTTAAACTCGATAAATTATCGTGTATTAGAGATTTGTTTGTGTCACATTTTAAGTATGGTATTTTCAAATTTTCATGAAAGTGCATAATCTGCAAGAATCAGGACAACCATGTGCATTATCAGAACGTAAAGGAAGATAGGTCCCAATAATAAAAGCCATATCAGCGTCAAGATCACCAAACAACAAAAAACAAGATTCAAGGACCAGTTTGATTTGAACTAGTCCTTTCTCTAATTAGCCTTTGTCTTTATCTCGGAATCTATGCATCCATGGACCGCAAGCATAGATATGCCCAAGCAACCTACTAGAGGCTGCCAAGCCATTAATAAAGGCTATCCAAACTTATTGCTGGATAGTTAGTTCACTCGTCTGGTGCAATGCTATTTGGTACAACGTTACGGGCCTGGTCTTCAATCATAGGTTTCAACTTAAGTCCTCTTTCTAAAAGGGTTGATGAAATCATAAGGAAAAACTTTTAGTAGAAACCACTAAGATGGACCTTACCCTGTTAATATAAAATCTGGTTTATGATAGAGCCTAATGATCCATGTTGTTAATTATGAGAGTGTCCTAATGTAAATGAAATGACAAATGAACTAGGAACACATATGGGGTGGTTTGGCTTTTAATAGGAATTAGATAAGCTTCTGTTACGAGCAAAGGTCTCAATTTTCAAATTTCAGGACCACCATCATATACTTATGATGTTTATTTAAAAACATAGAGCTTCGCTTCAGAGTTTCAGAAAGAGCACTGGACCATTTACTATGATTTTGAGGCGCGAAATGGCATATTGCTACTGCCTTGCTGGCTGTTTGGTACATCGTACATCAAGTAACAAAATATTTATATATGCACATACATACACATTATATATATATATATATATATATATATATATATATATATACATATATACATATATATTATATTATATACATATATATATAAAGGCAGTTACTAGTGGCTTTGAGAAAGTGAGAGAAGTAAAGGTCTCAGAGTGTGAGAACTGAAAAGAGATGGGTGGTGTTGCGTGGACAGAAGAAGAAGATCACTTGCTCAAGAAATGCATACAACAATATGGAGAAGGAAAGTGGCATCGTGTTCCTTTGCTGGCTGGTAAACTGAAATTCAATTCAAAAGTTTGTTAACAGTGAAATGGTTTGGTCAATTTTAGCAATTGGTTATGATTTATGAGATTTATGTATCAAACCAATGCAAAAATTGAAGAGTGATTGTGATTAGTTCCTTTTTTACATAGAAACATGCTTACTGAAATTTCCAAAATCATAATGCTCCTATTTACAATTCCTTTTCATCTGATAATATCTATTGGTTGTTGAAGGTTTAAACAGGTGCCGAAAGAGTTGTAGACTAAGATGGCTGAACTATCTCCGTCCGAACATCAAGAGGGGAAATTTTGCGGACGAAGAAGTTGAAATGATAATCAAACTCCACAAATTATTAGGCAACAGGTTAAATTAGAAGTTGCAGTCTTTCTTTATGTATTTTTTGGGAGGGTGGCATAACAATAGCATGCACTAATGCTTTTGCAAAGGATATCTTAATATATGCTTGTGTTTGTGTTGTGTACGCAAGCATAGAGGTACAATATAACATGTACCATATTCATCATCAAAGCAAGGACATGAAAGATTGGAGATCAAGGGCTTGTTTGATTCCCTTTTCACTTTCTTTGTTTTGAAATCCGTTTTTTTATAGCAATTTCATTATTTTCAGTAATCAATTTCTGATTAAAAATCAATATAAAATCCCTTTACACTAAATCTTTTTTTTTTTTTTTTACGAACAGAGAAACAAGAGAAAGATGTTTTCTGAATATCTTTGGTTTTCTTCGGGTATTTTGTTGAAGTGCTAAGTAGACAAAGTTCTAGGAAAAGTTTAATCACTCGTTGGATTCTAATAGGTATTGAAGTTTTTTTAGTCTCCGTACTAAAAAACATCATCTTTTAGTCTTTATACATACCATTTTTAATCCTTTTTATTTTTATTATTGGAATTAAAAGAGATTAACATCTTTATTATATCTTTTAGTCCATTTTAGTCTTCATATCTTTCAGTCTTTTTATTTTTACTTATTATTTTAATCACATTCAAAATATACTAGAAGACAAACATATTTTAGAAAAAAAAAAAAAAACTTTTGAAGACAGTAAACTAACAAGGTAAAAGTTAGTTGCTACCTTGTTTCAGGTGGTCACTGATTGCAGGAAGGCTACCTGGAAGGACTGCTAATGATGTGAAAAACTATTGGAACTGTCATCTGAGCAAAAAGCTAAATGCTCTAGAAGGTGAAGATAGATCAGTAAGCAGAGACGTTCAAGTGATTAGGCCTCAGGCTAGGAACATTGGTTCAAGCTCAACTAAGAGAAGGGATGAGGGAGAGTTTCCAACTGAGAAAGCAGTTCAACAAGAGAGCAGCATGTCCTCACTGACGTTTGATGCTGATGGACAGAACCAAGTGGTTGAATCACAGGAAGACAACATATATGCATGCTTGGACCAACATGGCATTGTTAATGAATTGTCAATGGACTTTCAACTAGAAGGATTTGAAGAAATGATGAATGGGGAGGGGAGTGTTAGCCAATGGGATTGGGGTGATTTGCTCCTTGACATGGATTTGTATAAGTGAGTTTTCTTCTTTGATCTTTTGACCTCTGTAGATGGTCCATCTCACTGCCATGAACCATTCATAATATCATCATCTTCAGCCCAACAAGGTTGTGCCATTATTAGTCATTCCAAGTATGCATATGGCTTTAGACAAGCCTTAACTATCAAACACCAGTATTTATTTAATGGGCCTATGCGCCTTTTCACACTTTGTTTAACCCGCCCTACCCTTCTTTAAAGTCTTAGTCTTTATCACTCTCTATCAACTAGAGCAAAAACAAGTTCCATTAACTAATACATTAAAGATATTAGTTAAAAATGTAATAATTATTTTTTTTATTGAAAATTATAGTGAAATGTTTTTTTATGAAAACATTTTGAATACATACAAATAAAAGTTTTGGAAACTACAATAAGCCACTACATCTTTAGGAAGCCAAAACATTAATTATATATCTATGTTAAATTGTTTAACGGGACAGCAATTTTTGTAGACAAGCCAATTTTTAAGAAGCCAAAACCCACAAAACATCAATAACAAATATCCATCATTAAAGGTAAACAATATTTCATAATTAGCATTATTTAATGATCTAAAATATTATAATAAATAAATGATGCTAATTCAACATAATTAAAAAAACACCCAACCATTTATTTATTTACTTTTTTCTTGTAATTGTCGTATTCATTACATAATTAATATCCCTATGTCTAGAGAGAAGTGTTTCTTATCAAATTGATATGAGAAAATTGGCCAGTGAATCTGATTATTAATTGGCAAAAAATTTAGTGTGCGTTGGATTTATTCTCTCACTAAAATTTATTCTTCTAGTAGTGTGTCATTAGGGTTTTAAATAGATGAATTGAGTTATTTTTGTGACAGAATCCAATGGTTAATACATGTCTTTCTACAAGTTTTTCAAGCCAGAATTTTATTTTAATTATATATAAGATGATTGATTTTTCTCTATCTAATCAAGACATAAATAATAAATTATGTTAAAAAAAATAATTATTTTAAGTAAATAATCAATTATCCTACACTTACTGAAACAACTATGGTGGAGATAATCAATTATGTTAAATAGATAATAAGTTATCTTAAATAATTAATTAATTATATTAAACAAATAAAAAATTATTTATAATAAATAATTCATTTATGATAATTATATTTATTTAATTATTTTTTATATATATTATAATATATATACTTAATTTTATATATTTTTAAATCTTTATTCATTAATTAATATTTTTAATTAGATAAAAAAATATTATATTTACATTTAAATTATTCAATTATTATTATAATCAATAATTTAAATTTAATTTTTAATTATTTATGATTTCTTATATATTTATATATTAAACATCATAATATAAAAATTATAATATTTTAAATTATAATTTAGTTTATTTTAAGAGAGAGTGACGAATTAAAATATGAATCCAACCTATTGATTTAAAACGAATTTATACATGGAGCCACTAAATATAACCCATTTTATCATCTCTGTCTTTTTATTCAGATCCTCTATGTATTAACTTCTTTGAACCTCACTACTCTCAACGAAAGTAAAGGAGAAACATGGTAAAATAAAAAAATAAAATATACAAATGTAATTAATTAAAGAGAACACACACGAAGTTAACATATGGTTAGCATCAGTTAATGAAATTCAATTACTTATTCTATAATATGTTCAAAATTTCTAAAAGGAATATTTCTGTTATAAAACTGATTTAAAATTGTTAAGGAATATTTTAATAGTATTTTTGAATTTTGTTGAAGAAATAGTTAATTCTAACATTTTTTAAAACAGGAAAGAGTTATTTTTTTAAAAGAAAAATCTATTCTAAATTATTTTCTTCTATCTTCCTCCTTAACCATCCCTATCCTAATTATTATTTCTTAAACTCTTCTAATATGTTAAATGTCTCTGAGGTGCTCGCCAGAAAGTGTTTCCAATTAAATTGATAAAGAATTTTCTCTTTAAATTATTCGCATAAATGTGACCTAAGAAGTCCGAACATGTAACCTTCGAGTGTTCTTCCCTTAAGGATGAGGTTCCCGGTGAGGATATGGACCGAGGAAAAACCAACGGAAGAAGTGTCAGGTGTGAGTATGGCAGGAACCAAGAAAGGAAGAGAAGGTCGAAGAGATCAACAGAGATTTTACGAAAGTGATGACTAGAAACAATTGAGGAGGAATTATATGAAGCGAACCCAAATATGAGGACACTTAGAAATATCATAGAAAATGTTTTATATACTTGTTTTATCATTAGTTGGAGTTAACGCTTTTGTTTAAATATGAGTAACTTTGTTTGATTTAGAAAATAAGGTAGTTAATCCTGTAATAGCTAGATAGCACGCCAAATAATCCATGGGCTTTGCTATACTCAACCTTAAGCTTAACCTCTAAGAGGAGCCAAGTACCTCTTTGTTGTAATTGAATAAAACATAAAAAATCTTGATCCGAGCCAGATCCATAATCTTTTGTCTTGAAATATTTGATTAATTGTGAGTTAAACCTTGAGATAAAAAATGGCACATTAAACTTGCATTGGAAAAGTGTAGGTCAAATAATCCTTGGACTAAAATGTATCCAAAGTGTGAGCCAACAGTTAAAAAAACAATTAAAGAAAGTGCTCTAAAATTGGTTTGAGATTCTTGTAGAGATCCTCAAATTTCACACTTTATTAAGATATACTTGTATTACTTATTTGTGGCTTCTTTGCATGATGAAAATTAAATAAATCGATATTCATAATTAGGAATGAAACAAAAATTCTAAAAAATCTACTGGCCAATTCTTTAGAAATTATATAATTTCATCGTTGATTTTATATTAACAGGTTCACACATGACCAAAGTTTAACATACTTTCAAATTATTAAAGTGAAATACCATAAGACTCAAAAGTGGCTTAATTGAGAGAATTATATATCCACAAGCTATAATGATCAAAACAACACAAAAGCATACAATAGAAGAAGATTAATAAACACAAACATGCAGAATCCACGCATATATATACCTACAATAGAGAAAAGAAGCTTTGACAAAACCATGCCACTTGAAAACACATATTACAGAAAAGATCAAACATTGTTTCTAACGGAGGAAGCCCTTTTGTCGTCTTCCTTATTGGCGAGGGCAAGAGCACGAAACTTGGCGATGAAGAATCCCAAGGTGTGGCCAAACACAGCAGCTATGAATATTCCCCCATTGAAGGACATCACAGCAAGCATCACCATGTAAACAAAGCTAATGCGAAAAAGGTGAACAATAGATTGAATGAGTCCTCCCACAAAGGGACTTGTCCCAGGTTTAATGAGTGGTTGGTTTGATAAAACCTCAGTAGCCATGGCTAATAAAAACACAAATAAAATGGCTAAGATGTACATGCCAACAACGTGGTCTGGCCACCCACGGAAAAGCACTATGGCATCCGTGCCCCAGTAGAAACTCATCTGCATCATCCTCGGCATATTGTCTGTGGTGCCATTAACGGAGGGCATGTCTTGGCCTGGAGACATATACATCTTACTCATACTGATACAGTGAGAGAGAGAGAGTAATTTTTGGTGGATTGACCCTACTATTAATGAAAAGAGGGGGCAATGAAAAATGACGTGGTGACGAAACCTGAGAATTACGCAAATGTTTTAGCTGTATTTTCGGTTCTTTCGATGGCTACTATTTTGTTCATTTCTCATAGTCTTTTCTGAGGGGTGTCACATTAGTCCCTTTCTTCAACTATACATAAACCTAAACAATTGGTTTGTCAACGTAGCTAGATTTAAGAAACATAGCCAGTTTTAAGGTTTTTTCTTTTTAAGTTTAAAGAAAAAAAAAAAAAAAACTACCCAGCTATAACCATCTTTATTAATATAATAATAAAACTTTATAATTTTATATTTATTATCTGAAAAAAAAATTGCTAGATGAATATTTAAAAGAAAAGAGTTGCTTATATATTATTATTATTAAAAAAATAGAGAATAAAATCATGATTTTTTTTTCTTATTTTTAAGGTGTGAAACTTTATTCTAATTCTATACATGAGTTATTATATATATTTACATATCTTATGTCTATAATGAAGACATTTCAACTAAAAATAAGGAAATAGAAGATTCTCATTTATATGATTACTTAATTTTGTGTGTCTCGTTTTCTTTTTTCCCTAACTTCCTCAGAACAAGTGTTTTATTTAAAAATTTCTAAATAATATAGCTAGAATTTTATTAATTATATATTTATAACAAGAAGATGAGGAGGAGATAAAAATACGTGAATGTGAAAAAATAAATGAGAGACAAGGGATATATTAAAAAAAAACAATAAATAGACTAAATATATATATACATAACAAGGTATTTTGCTGGTAGTATACTATAAATTTAAACGATACAAATTAAAAATAGAGAAGTATATGAGTTGGGTATAGTGAAATCTCGGTTATATCGTAGACGAGGAAACCGTTGAAAGAGTCCTAGAAGAATGAGTAACGAAGATGAGATTCTTTGTGATAAGAGTAAAATGAAATTTAATAATCACTTTTAATTCTAAATGAACATGGGTTATACCGTCATTGACTATCTATTAAGGTGTGATTAGGCATTTGTTAAATTGATTTTTTTAAAAGTTAATTTCATATATCCAAATATTTATAGCTTAGGATTATTTTTAATAATTTTTTTCTCTTACAAGCAGAAAACAAACTAAAAGAAGTTTTTTTTTTAAAGAATATTATTTAAAAAAAAAAAATAAACGAGCGAGTACAAATTGATTTTTTTAAATTATGTATGCTGTTAATTATTTTAAATGTTGCCATATATTTAACATCATTTAAATAATTATATTACTTAGAGCCTAGAAAAGTTAATTATTTAGTATTTAGTATTTAGTATTAGCGTATATATGCCTTGTTAATCACTTGAGACGACACCTTCGAATTTTATTTTATTTTTGCAACTACGACACCCCTGTGATTGTTACATGCTCATTGAAAACATAGTTCCAATCACAAGGGAGCAATTCTTATAATTATGGATGTTTGTTTTTTAGGTACATACAATAATTGCTTGTCATAACTTCAATGGTCCACTTGAACATTGCTCAATTTTTAACTGTGTCTAATAATTTTTGAGAGTTTAGCTTTTATGGGTATATATAGGTTACATGTAGTAACCTATCAATACTTAAATCAGATTTTAACTATTGATAATTTATTTTGAAGGAGATTATTAAAATTTAGTTCTAAGATGAAGATAAAAAAGATAAATTAAGAATATTAGATATTAAAAAATATTTCCTAAATATAAATGTATAATTACATAAATTTGAGTGTTTACTTTTTGTCATTATAAATATTTTATTAAAATACACTTAATTTTGTCGTGTTTATAATAAATATAGTTTCAAATGTATATTTTTGTATAATCAAACATTTTAAAATTAATAATCTGTTTTTTTGTCTAATAGATATAATTGTTAAATAAAGGAAATGGATTTTTTAATAATAGAAGATTTTTGTTTTTTTTTTCTATATTTTGGATAGTGAAATTTGAAAATCTAGTACCATAAATTCAAAATTTATATTTTTCTATAATTTTAAAATCTCTTAACTTTCTTTAAAGTTAATTATATATACTTTTTTTTTAATTTCTGAGTTAATTCTCTATTTTATCATAGGTATAAATAAGCTTGAACTGAAAAATAATTCTAATTTATGAGGTAGGTTTTTTCTTTTTTAGTTTTTTTGTTGAGTTGGAGGAAAAATATTCAATTTTAATATATATATATATATATATATATATATATAATATCTTAATTATAATAAAATAATTCTGAATCAAATAGAGTTTTAATTTATTTAAATCTATTCATGTATTAAAATATGATTATTAATTTTTTTAAAACATATAATTAGAAGATTAAGCTAATTATCTTAAAAATAATGCAATTAATATTCAAAATAATTTATAAAATGTGCCATCAATTTCACTGAGGTAAGGATTTACACAATTATTAATTTATTAAATTTTAAAAATAAACATTTTAGATGATTTTTAAAAGGTGTATTTGTTAGACAAATGACATCTAGAGATGGTGAATAGATGCACAAATTAAAATAGATGTCAAATTAAAAATTTATTTGAGTCAATAATTCATTTGAACATAGATAAAAGGGAAGCGATATTATAATCAGGAGAAGAGAAAGAGATAAGGGAAAGGGAAGAGCACAAAGATTTATATTGGTTCGGGTATAGTCAACCCTACATCCAGTTCCCAGTAAACTCTTAACACAAGAGTGACTCCTCATTCACTATTTTTCAAATTCAGTTTACAAATTACAATCAACTCAGCAGAAGAACCAGTAAAAAGTAAACTAATTAAAAAGACAATCACCTCCTTAGAAACCCACTAAGGATGAACACCTCCCTAGAATCCCACTAGGGATGAACACCTCCTCTGAACAAATCAAAGGATGAAAACACCTCCTTAGAATCCCACTAAGGATGAACACCTCCCTAAAATCACATTAGGGATGAAAAACGCCTCATTTTCACCAATACAAAAAGGATGAATGTAATAAAAATAAGAATAGACACACCTGGGTAATGGAGACATCAAATTGTAGAAGCCTGTAGAATGTCAATCTTCAAGAACAAGTGTGATTAACAATGAAAGCATAAAAGGCAGTAGAGAAGAGGGTTTTCTCAAAATGTGTAAAATATCTTTGTTGCCTTACTCAGAATTCTTTTCTCAAAATTGATTGAATATAAATTGTATTTTCGAATTCTGTAATTGTGTGTTTTTTATTTTTCATCAAAACTTAATTAAATAAAAAAATAGCATCGAAAAATGGTCGTTGGACATTAATAATATCATAGAGAAAATCAGGATGTATTAAAAAAATATTTATTCTTTAAAACATATATATTTTTCAAATTTGAATTGTCATAATTGATTATATTACCAGTATAATTAATTATGATAGAGAAAATCATTTTTCCATTTCTGATGCATCATAATTAATTATGACAGAGAAAAATACCATGTTATGAATTTTATCACACTTGTGCTTTGGAGGCTTATGCATAATATTACTTCATCAACTTGTACCTCCATATCCAGTATTCTAAGACTATATCTAGTCTTCAGGAATCATCTTGGGCTTGCTTGAATCATCATCTTTATCAAAAACATATCTTGGGCATGTAGGGAAATGTTTCACATTTTCACCAACGTCATAAATTCAGCTTATCCTTAATTCATCTTGAATGGTGTTGACTTGAATGTAGTTGACTTGAATCATCATCAAAATCATTTCTTGGAAATGTAAGGACATTTCCATCAATCTCCCCTCGTTGCTTTCAAGTATTATATTTAACCTAAATGTATAAAACTAAAAATTTTAATTAATTATGTTCTTTTTTGGAACACACTTTACGATGTTAAATATAGTTAATTAGAGGAATGATTTATAAATGATATTCTTCAAGTACTTTAAAATGTTAAATATACTTTATTAAAAGATTAATTTATAAATTATATTCTCCAAATACAATTCCTATCACCTTTATCTAGTTTTGATTTCTAAATTCATCCTAAATTTAATGATTGGAATTTTTATCACTTTTTTATCAATTGATATTTTAATCATATAATTTAAGCTATCAATATAAAAACTTAGATAATTGTATTATAATTCAATCCTTACATTATGCTTACTTTCAACTATATTACTTCTTTAATAATTACTATTATACAAAATAATATTACATCCCTATAATTACTATTTCCACGTTAATTTTATCATCACAATTAGTTATAATAAATTCGACTGAGTGTTTCAATAACATCATATATGAAGACAAAAATAGGTTTTTAAACGAAACAAAATAATAGAGTTGCTACTAATATTTATTTAAAAAAAATATTCAAAAGAAAAAAAGGTGATTTGTGAAATAAAGGTTAAATTTGAAAAGAATTATGTACAAGAAAAGTATTAACATCCTATAACATTCATTCTAAAAAAAGTTACTTTTAATTAGATGTGAAAAATTAAATATTTTTAATTTATTTATTTTATTCCTCAAAATTATATATCTATTAAATGTTGTTATTAAAAATAAAAGATTTTATACTTTCAATCTTAGTATTCCCATATACAATAGATAATCAAAATGACCTTGTTCTTTGTAAAAAAATATTGTGAATAATTTATTTTAATTTATTTGTATTACTAAATTGAAAGTATGTTCAAAATTATTTTAAAATTATATAATTATATAATAATCAAATTAGAACTACATCTAAAATGATTATCATTTTATAATTTAAGTAATAATTAACTCAAAAGTGTATCCAAAGTAATAATTAATATTTAAATTATTATATTTATAATTTCTATTTAGATTTTATTTTTTAAAAAGAAGTATTTTATTATAATCAAATAAAATTATTATAATTTTTTACAACCAAATTAGATATATATCTAAAATGGTTAACTTTTTTTATGAAATATTTTGTT